TATTTCTTTTATTATTCATTTACAAAAGCATGATTCAACCCATACTGTTGTACTTTCCCCCTGCTTCTTTACTGTGCTAACTATATCTGACAAAAACAAACTTACACTGCCTCCAAAATCATCTGCCTTCTCACATCCCTTCTCTTACACATGAACCACAGAGCCATCAGACACCCAGCACTCACAGTAGCAAATGACACTAATCACCCCGTCAATCAAAACTTCCCATTACTTCCATTAGGATGGAGATACAGCACTTTAAAATGGAGAAGCAGCTGGAATTTTGTCCCTCCTGCCACAGCAGCCCTGAAGAAACTGCCTTACTGACACTGCTGTGAGCTGCTATGTCTGAATGTACACGTGAAGATTTTATGTATTGTCTATATCTGTATGTTTCTGTGTTGCACTGGCAGTGAAAACAAATGTCTCGCTGGCACAATAATATATATTTATATTAACCTTGCAAATAATATATAATAATGAAACTATTCGTGCCTTCTGTAAGTCTTACAAAATAATTGGAAATATGAACTAAATATCTGTGGTATTAAACACTGACCCCCTAAATTCAGGAAACTGAGAATAAAATAACACCATTTATATCTCTAACCACAAATCACAAAAAAAGAATCAATTCTTCCCTCAGGAGCACAATCTTTGCTGCCTTAATTAATATTCAGTGTTACACTGCCACCTTTAAATCAAAGTATTAAAATAAGTAATCCCGCAATAACTGATTCTTTGTGGCCAATTAGGGACATCACAACAAGCTATTGACATATTCCCATATTATAAAGTTGACATGGCTAATGTGTTAGCAAAGAAATTGCATATTTACATGTCTAGCATGACATGGCATAACATTAGCATTGATTTGGAGTTGCGTTTGTGGCCACAGGATGAATGAAATCCAACATTCACCCTCCTTTTAGCTCTGCTTTTGGTCTCCACTCCTAAGGGAAATATCTGGCTCTTTAGCTGCTAAATGCTCTGCTAATTTCACCACCTATTTGCTAACTGTGTCTGTCTGTTGTTTGGTGCTGAGCAGGTAGTGTACAGTGTGTATCGAAAAACGCTTAAAAGGGAACTGCAGAGATGGTGATAATTCTCTGTGGGTTTCACTACGCACAACCAGTTTCAAATTACACATAGTTATTTGAACCTTTGCTCACATCAAAAATATGAATTAGTGCAGCTTTAATATTTTTATTCCCACACAGTAAGAGGTTAAGAAAGCTTGAATACAGCCTAAAAGGTGAGTATCCTTAATATTAATAGTATATCCTGACCAATACCAATATTAATATTTTTAAACTCTGATAACAATATAATATGACTATGACTGATACACAATAACTGAAGGCGACTCATCTCATCTATAGGGCTGCAACTATGAGACACTGGAACAAGGTAATGACATTTTTGCACACAAAATTAATTAAAGATTATTTGATATTTCTGTCAACGGACTAATCAATGAATCCACTCGTCTGGACTATGGCAGCTGGACAATAAGAGTACAGCGTTTAGAGAAAAAAAGGGATATCAAAAAGTGACCAGTGGAACAAGATTCTAAGAGTCCAACATTAAAAACCATTTTCTCTCCCTTTTCAAAAGCTTTTGATGACTTATAATTGCAGGCGTTTGCACCAAAAATATCCACAATTACAATACTCAGCCCTGATTACATCTCTCCAGTTTTTCCTCAGTGCTGACAGACATTTCTATAATGCTCCATTGTGAAGCCCGTCTCCACATCAGTTGACATTTCCCCATAAAGTCAAATGACTGAGAATATTCCCCTCTCACAGGCTGCTCCTCAGATGTCTCTAACGGCTGTTTTTGTCCTTTTCTGGGTGTTGACTTGAATAAATTGAGTTGAGAAATCTGACTGCATCACTGTTCATATAATTTGTATAAATGAGGCAGCCTGTTGGACCAGTGTGGAAACGGGCACTGCCAAACATCACATTTCATAAACCCTGGAATTTCTTCATGTTGAAATTGGTCTGAAATGGAATGTAATGCACGCCTGATCACAGGTCAGACCTCAGTGATTCTCTGTAGCCACTGCCGCATGGACTGAAATGTTGAGGCGAGGCAACTTCCTCAAAGCACGGCAGGAATATATAAATAAACATTGGAGAGATGCCGTGGTAAATATTCCAGACGCAGAAGTGAACACTGGGTGTCAATCTGTGTTGTTTACTGTGAAGCTGACTGAGACACAATGCTAAATATACAGTCACTGGAGTCCATGCAAACCCGTGCGCTTCGCTGACCACAAGAGAACAACAACATGTTTCTTTTTTGCAAGTTTACAAGTTGGTAAAAAAAAAAACTGGCTCAAAATGCAACACACACAACAAAGCATTCACAGAGAGGAATCTGAGCGCACATGTCAAAGGTCAGCGACACGTGCGTGCAAGGCTTCGTGTTTCACCTCCCTCTTAGCTCACTCTCTGGGTATTTCCTCTGTGGTGGACTGGCTGGCCATTGTACTGAGGTTACCCTCACCTGTGATGCCTCTACATGCCAGTTCCTAAGTGCTCTGAAAGCCTACTAATCATCCCATACCACAAAACCCCCAGCGACATGTCGTCATGGCTGCCATTACACCAGAAAGCACTGCGCCTGAGTGAGACACCAGATTACCGCTTCCAGATGATAAGGCCAAGCCCGGCTGGCTGCGTTTTACAAACTCCAAGCCCACGTGACTTCTTTCAGTGAATGGAAAAGCTGAGTCTGATGGGTTTTTTTTGTTTTCAGCTACTATCCCAGTTTGACTCCAGACGTCTAGACCTCTCCAACCGTGCTCTCTGGAGAATCATAATCTTTACCATTTCTCTCTGTAAACCTCTGCACAGGAAGTCAGCTAGATGTACCCACTCCCATAATGCAGCTTTAAATGGGACCCATTATGCTAATTTCCAGCTCTGTATTCTTAGAGACTTCACCAGAGTAGTTTTGCATGATTCACCCTTTAAAAAACTTCCTTATACTGGCCCTTCAATGCAGCACTCAGCTTCAGTAACTGAGCATGGACAATAGTGATATGGGGCACTAAACTGGATGAATTTACTGTTTATCAGTCCACAAATGAGACAAGAATTAGGTTGGAAAAATGACCCACGCCACTGGAGTGGAGGGTTTCAGGGGACTGGGCCTTACTGGTTACTGTACAAACCAAAAGGTAGTGTACAGTGGGTTTTTGGAGCCGTTTCACTGAAAACAGCTGCCTGCTGCGTCTGAAACGACGCTGTGAGAGTGAAACAAAACAGTAAAGTTGCAGCCGGACAGATCAACAATGAGCTGAAACTCACTATAAAGCTCTGTAAAGCCGAGGGGAGCTGCAGATTCAGGTAATAACTCTGTGTAGGTTCATTACTAAGAGCACATTGTGTTCACAACATCATTTCTTACATTGTTATTTTTAAAATTAAACAAACTCTGCAGTCAGAGGGAATACATCTGACAACATGAGGGACTCCATGAATAGTTTTTTAACCCAAGCCAACCATAGCAGCCCTTAAATCCAGCTAGTTGCTTTTGAAAAAAAAAAGAAAAGCTCTGCTGAGCTGTCCACACATGTTTTGAGGGCATTATGAAAAACGTTATATTAGCTTATAAACTCTCCAAAGAAGCAGAGGAGTGGGTCAGAAAGAGAGACAGAAGCTGAGAGTTTGCTCTGGTCTGAAGTTTGCTCATAACATTGGAATGTGGATCCATGAGGCCTGCACAGTGGGCCGAAAGATAACATTCTGCCTTTGGTGGCAATTAGCTTGGAGCCTATTGGCCAGCCCATAAAGCGACGCTCAGTGGAGCCCCTCAGTGATCCGGCCAGACAACTCTGAAAGTTATGAGTGCAACACCTAACAATTACCAGTTTAACTTCACTTTCGCTGACACACTTGCACTGCAGGCAATTTAGAAAGGACTGTCATCAAAACAGAGGATGGGTCATTGACTTTAAGTGTGCAGTTAAAAACCAGGGAATATTTATTATTTAAAGGAGAAATAGGAGTACTGCTAGGGCCGTGGAAACAACTGTATAATGTTTTCTGTGACTCTGGAGGAGCGTTGTGAAGTCTGAAAGAAAAACCCTAATGTGGGCGTTTACCATAACCTGCACTTGCAAGATCACGCGAGAATCCATCTAGCCAGACTTCAAACTATGCACATGTCTGAGGAACTACTGGCAGCTGCGGCATGAGCTACATTCATGGTTGAACGCTAAGAGAAGCGACTATTGTGCTGCTAGCATCAGTTGCCCGGGATAGATGGTGATAGACAGACAGTTCTGTATTTTTTGAAAGTGCCTGACCTTTCCAAACTATTTCAAACAATTACTTCCCAGATGGTTCTGTATAACAAACCCGTTCTTTTACGATTTTGTGGACTTTTTTGGGGGAATGTTGCCACCTAAAACGCCTGATTTCATATCAGCTTCTCTGCATGCATGTTGCGATGTTTTTAGGCAGTTTTTTGCGGTGAAATTGTCAACGCTTTACATGCGAAGTTACAATGATTGCTTGAATTTGTAACCCTAACCCTAACCCCTAACCCTGGAGGAACAAACCATCTTGTGCAGTCAGGCTACATTTACCATGCAAAGAGGGTTTAATGAAAAGACCCTATTAAGTTGCATCATAGGAAATGTAGGTTCCAGTGGTTTTGGACTTTGACCTACACCAAGCAATAAACGTCAGGATATCTCAGCCTGTGCTGCTTTTTTGATTTTAAGTAATCTTTTTTAAAAAATCGGTTTTTAATCTGTCACAGATTCTCTGATACATTATTGCTAATAAATTTAGCCTTCAATGGCAAAATAAAATCCATTACTGATAACAGCCTGTGGTGCTCTCCAGCTGAATGAGCATTGTGACTTCCATAACTGTCCTGTCATGTGTAAATATGGTCATCACTAAGATTTAGATTCGCCTATTACTTTACGAGATACATCTACAGAATGTGTAAGATTTCAGACACTGCATGTTTACCTCAATATGGTTGGGCAGCGTGTTGATAAATTTGAATCCTGGGATCCTCTTGTCGCTGCACACCACGCCTACGTCTTCACTGTGTTTGCAGTCTGAAACACCGATCCCATTGGAGGGACACAGCGCCAAAGTCTTTTCTTTGCCAGTGCAGTGGAGATTGTCAAACCAGATGGGTCCTGACCAGACAAAAGAGAGATTCATCAGTGCTTCCATGGGGAGGAATTTTCCCCTTTAATAGTGGCAACAACAAAGGAAAAATAGATTTCTTATAAAGGCTAAGCTGATTTCTCCAAGTGGGAAACATTTACTGTGAACCAGTTACCAAAGAGAGCAGCACAACTAAGTTATAAATTGAAGATCATGCACAGGGGTTACATCAGTGTACTACATGTACAGCTAATAGTGCAGTAACAGTGTTTTATTATATGAACCTTCTCCTTTCCCATATTTGGAGGATGGTGACCATGAGACAGCTTCCAGGTAGCCCAGCTCTCTGCACACCACCTGAGCGGCGTGGATAGTGAAGTCATCATCACAGACGGTGCCCCATTCGCCATTGTAGAAAACCTCCACGCGGCCCTCGTTGTGTTTCCTCTTATCTCCCGCCAGTCGGAGCTGAATCCTGGGCGTGTCTGCTGCCAGCTGTGGGGCAGTGTACTGTTCCTGTTCCGGGTCCGGGTACCCCGGCGGGTAGCCGAGGTGCTCGTACTGGGAAAGAGCCAGCTCTAATAGCACTGACAGAATGACAGTGCAGCAGGGCAGACACTGGGTGGCCAGCATTTTGGTTGGAGCTGATGAAAAGATGAAAAGAGAGGAGCGGTCATCAACATTTCTTGGCAACTGTCTCAGATGGTTCTTCACAATGGTACTTTATAGAGAAGAATCAGACTGTGTAACAAGTATGGGAGGGGAGCATTAAAGAGGCATTTCAGTGTTTTTGAAACTTGACCCAGACAAGGGACTAAAAATCTGGATAGCTCTGCCTCTGCCACATTCTTTGTTTCTGTCTCTTATCAGTCCCCCAAAGAAAAAAAAAATGTACCCCTTTAAACAGCTCGCCACCAATAATTGGAATATTAATGCTGTACTAATCAATATTTTTATTTTAAAGGACCAGTGCGTAGGATTTACTGGCATCTATTGATGAAGTTTCAGATTGTCACTAACTGAATACAGCTCAGCCTTCCAAGCGTTTAGGAGAAATTACGGTGGCTGCGAAACTGGTGAAAAACATAAAAGGCCCCTATCTAGAACCAGTGTTTGGTTTGTGTGTTCTGGACCACTGTTTTTAGGTCAAAAGTCAATTAAAGACCCTGTCCAAACATGCATTTTCTGATTAACTTTTCAAAAGCTTGCATGTTGTGCTTGGGTGAATGTATTACTTCCTATGCAGCAGAGGATTTTTCACAGGATAGAGGAACACCCTCTTAGGTCTTTAAAACAGCAAATGGAATAAAAATCCCATAACTGGCTAACAGGGTTGAATCACTAAAAAAAGTAACTCAATATGAATTTCCGTTCAAAAGTTGCACAGTTATTCAAGTTACTGTGTGTCAAGAGGTGATCATACTATAGTTTTCTTTGACTTAAGTTCAGAAAATGAGTCCAAGAAGAGCTGGAGCCTAAAACAGACACCTGCAGGGTGATGTAATGCCAATCTCCCACAGAAAAATATTGATATATGGCTAGGCACTGCTTGTACCTACATACCAAGTCAAAGACTTGTATAAACAAGAGTCCATGGTCAGAATGCAGAAATATGGATCCAACTGAAACTTATCAACAGCTGCATTTCCACAACCCATTAAATGTTAAAAGCTCGAAGGCTTGTGCTTTTGTGTAAAAACATCTGGCAAGAGACAGATTATCCTTCAACTGCGGGGTTTCGACTTTCCTCATTGTAACGTGGCAGTGGTTACACAAGCTAGAAACAACACACATTACAGAATAAGCAGATGGAATGAAGCGCCCAGCCTCTGGGTCTGCTTAAAATGTGTCCAAACAGCCATGTTGTCATTAGAAAAACACGGTCAGCATGTACATAAAAACTAAGGTTCAGCTGAGGCAGTGCACACAGAACTGCACTTTGTTAGCAACTCATTTCGGCAAGTGATCCATTTCAAGCTCAAGAAGCAAAAATGAACTCTATCGCGATTTCCCAGGCAAATGGGTTGACTTTCAGGACTGATGAGGATTGGACGGAGCTGCAGGCACTGAGCAACATCAAATCAATCAGAGCAACATATCCGGGATCTTCTGGCCCCCCTTAAAGCAAGAACCTCAATGATTAAGAAACCCTGAAATCTGAAACCTCTGCTGCCTTTCGCCTCAGAAACACTGACAGATGTTTCCGGACTAAAGAAAGCTAATTTGTGATACTTTCAATCAAATCCTGCTACCAAATAGCTGAACCCTTCTTTAAAAACTCTAAATGTCAGTGCCACCGTGCTGCGAGGACGGTCTGAAGGGCTTTTGTCTCTTGACTCTCTGTCTCCAACTGCTTTCACCTTCGTGCAAGTCCCACCTGCTGCTGCAGGGGATCTATGCTTTGGTTGGAAAGGTCAAAATGTCAGGTTTTGTAATGTCAACTGCTCTTCTGGTGCCCTTCACTGAAGCACTCAGAGGAGAGAGCTTCACTACAAGCACACACAGAGGAAAAAGGGTTGAGACTGAAATGCACCAGAAGGGTTTGGACTGTCACATGTTTGTTCTCGATTCCACAACGTCCTCTGAGATAGGTTTTTAAAATCTTTTTGACCAACAGAAGAAAACCCAAGGGCCAGATTCATACAGAGAATACTGTATCCTATATGCATGTAGATACAATAAATTACCTGCTGATGTAACAGAGGTTGCAATGATTATTTTCCTTCTCGATTCATCTGTTTATTACTGTTCAAATTATTATGTTTGTGGGTTTAGACGATTAAATGCAAGAAAATACTAAAAAGACACTGGAGCCAGCAAATGCTTGGTATTGTTGCTTGATAAATGAATTAGTCGATTATCAATATTGCTGGTGATTAATCATGAACCATGAACTAACTGAGTAGTTGACTCCATTTTTTAATATGTAATGCACAAGGCCATACACTACAGGTATGTTTAAATGATTTAAAAACAGTTACAGACTGAAATTGTTTCTATAACTTTAGCTCATACTTGATCTCTCACAACAACTCCTTCAAAACTATGATGGATTTTAGAGCCAACTTCAGACCATGATGCAGCCACTGACTCAGACACAAAGGAAACTCTTTACTGACCATCACATAACAATGAGCCTCAATAACAAAGAGCATACAGCTTTGATCCTTTACATTCTGCATGTTGTGAGGTTGAACTTACTTTGGTGGTCGCAGCTGTGGACTGTCCCTGCCTCCAGAGGCTGTGCGCTCCTGCAGGCTGCGGTATCAGACAGACCGAAGCCCAAACTCAGCTGCTGCTTCTTCTCCTTGCTCCTCTCTGAACTTTCACTCCCTCTCATGTAAGTCTCAGCCTTGGGCCGGAGCTGCGGTGGCCCCGCCCACGTACTGACGCCCACCTTTACGATGACCTCACCGGAGATGGCCCGGGACGTGGAAATAACGGATCGGACCTGAACACAGCGCTGTGACAATGGTGCATTCGGAGACCGTCGGAAAAGAGTTTAAAACCATGAAACAACCATGAACACTAGGGTCAATAGAGGAACATATATTTACTGCAGAAACAATAGGTGTTTGAATGGGATTTCAGTAGCTTATCTACAGTTTAAGTGTACATAAATACGGGCCTAGTTGTTTTAGGGAAAACTGGGAAAAAAAGAGCTAAAGATGTCCATTAAAGCTGCCGTATTAATTTTTATAAAAATAATGTTTTGTCATATTTGCTGACACAACTATATTCTGACAGTAGTGCATGAGACCAATCTGTGACACAAATCAGGTTCCTCCTCCTCTGATGGCATTTGCAAGAATCCAGCAGGCCTGGACAAAAACAACCAATCAGAACCAAGAAAGATAGCTGATAGCTGAGTCTCATCCCCAGGGTGTCATAGACCAACGCTTTGGTACCTGTGAATGAGACTAAACAATCTCCTATCTTTAAGCCTCCAATCCAAAGCGTCTTTGTAGCTCTGATTGGTTGTTTTCATCGAGGCCCGGTAGATTCTCGCAAATGCCACAAGAGGAGCCAGTGGAACCTGATTTCATCACAGATTATCTGTCTCGTGTACTACTGTCAGAACACAATGAATATTTCAGCAATAATGACAAAACGTTATTTTTATAAACGTTACCTACTTTAAGCTTACAAAAAAGTAGGCTGCCAAATTTAACACATCAATTAGAATAGTTAGTTGTCAGAGTTGATGTGTTAGAAGCAGGAAAAATGGGCAGCGTGAGGATTTGAGCGGCTTTGACAAGAACCACATTGTGATGGCTAGACGACTGGGTCAGAGCATCTCCAAACCTTCAGCTCTTGTGGGGTGTTCCCGGTCTGCAGAGGTCAGTACCTATCAAAAGTGCTCCAAGGAAGGAACAGCAGTGAACCGGAGACAGGGTCATGGGGGGGCCAAGGCTCACTTATGCACGTGGGGAGTGAAGGCTGGCCCATGTGGTCTATTCAATGCTTTACTAATGCGCCACAATAATGTAATGTTCATATAACTTCATTTCTAGGATATTTCTAGCAAATATTGATATATGTGATTATTTGTAATTAAATCATCATATATATTGGTTTGTCCATTAGGGCTACTGTAGAAACATGGCAATTCAACATGGTGGACTCCATGGAACGTGACCCCACGACATCTGTAGATAAAAACAGCTCATTCTAAGGTAACAGAAACACCATTTCTATATTCAGGTGATTATACACTAATGAAAACATACCTAAGGGATATTGCATTTATGCTAATATATCCTCCTAAATGTTACACACTGGTCCTTTATATTTTTATAATAATATATAATATAATATATATAATAATCATAGGAATACAATATAATCTCTTAGTTTTCTTTCCTCATTGGATTACTTTTCTTCTGCCACAATGCACTGATCTTTAAAATCGGAAATGATCTTTCTTAATGTTGCACAAAACACATCATTACTTAACCTTACAATATAATTACAGTTTTTAAATCAGCTTGGCAATGTAAACTGTAAGGTAATTATGTTCCATCAGTCTACAGTGGAGGGCAAAGAAAACAAAGTGGGAGTATGATTCCTTGTTCTCCCTCTAAACTCATTATAACACAATATAAACAATAAGACTTTCTGAATATGCTTTGTTGGATTTTTAAGTGCTTTCGGCTGGAAGATGATAATTAAACTAATGGAGTGTGTTCTTATTCTGGCTTCTGCCTCAGTTTAGAAATAACAGGCACAGAGCTGCACTTCACTTCAAAATGAGGAGGAACAAATGTCCATCAGACATGAAGCTAATTTATATTTGTATTCACTTATTATGGAAATGCACAGCTACGTATAATATTATACATGTGGAACCAAACAAATTCACCGTTACTATGAATTGTTGACACTCTCCATACTCTATCTATTATGTCATATCACAGGTATCTGCAGGTTTATGAATGATATTTCCTAAAGTGCATGAAGGTAACTTGGACCTGTCTTCGGTAGGTGGTCTTCTCCATCTGGCACCGTTTGGTAGCGAATTTGTTCATGACCTATAATTGAACAGTGATCACAATCATGCACTGCAGCGGACTGAACTCGACTCTGCTGCCCCCTTGTGTAAAACAGGACAGGACACTTTTTCTTTGCAAACTTTGTGGCGCTCTGGCCAAGTGTAACACGTTCAACTAGTGTTCCATGCATAAAATGATGTGCTGATGGCAGTGTGTTGTTATTTTGTGAACAGCAGGAAATAAATCAGTGTGTGTTGTGAGGATAGCTGTGGTTGTCTGACACAAGACGGTTCAGATCAAGACCACAGAACAAAGTGCTGCCAGAAGTCTATCTGGCTCTTCTGAGTCATGTGAAGAGCCTTGAAGTCATATCACTCATATCAGACATGAAAAACAGGTTTGACTATGGTTAGCTTTGTTGTGTGACTTCCCTACCACAAGTGATGCCGTTTATTTCAGGTTTCTTTCCATTTGTAGCTTTCACTGATGATCCTGCGTTCCTTCACTCTCGGTCGTTGCAGCCGCAGTGCAGACTGTAACTACACTGCTGCTGCTGCCGGTCCTTTCCTTTTTGAGACAAATGACACATCAAGCAGCAACTGATGGCAATCAGTGTTGCATGAACTCACTTCACCTTCCCCTCTTTCATGTCTGCACAGCTGAGGTGTGGGGGGACATGTGACATAAAGCATTGTCCCTTTGCCATTATATTTCACCTAATCAGAATGAAGGAGGTAGGTTTGATCTCCCGCATGCATCCTTTCTGTGCTGAGTTTCAGATTTTCTGCATCCAATTTAGGGAAATATGCTTATTCACATCTCAAGTTAGATGAGAAGATCAATACCCCTTTTCATGTCTGTTCATTAAATATGAATAGAGACAGGAAAAGGTGGGCTCTGCATGATGGTCGGTAGCTGGAGTCTAAACTGGTTGCCGGGCAACCCCACAATGACGACAAAGTTCCCAGAAGTAACTGGAAAAGAAATAATCCAGCACATAATCCTTGGTTGGTCCAACACTGAAATATTTGAACAGACAACAACGCCTCAGGATGAATGTAATAAGTTTGGAGATTCCTTAACCTTTCATCTAGTGTCAAAATCTAAAAAAACTTTTAATTTGTGCAATATTATGACCAAATATGCAAAACCTTACCTCAGCTGCACTTTGTTTCAGTGCTCATTGTGAACATGTTAGCATTGTCAGCGGGGCTAAGGATTCATCAAACAAGATATGTGTTAATTAGTAACTTTTAGTAGGCAGACACATTATTTTTACCGTGGGAAAGAACCAGGATAGTTTCCAGTCTTTAAGGATTTAAGGGAAATTTTGAGGAAAAGCTAAGCAAAGCTACTCGGCTGCAGCTTCATATTTGCCATACCACTCATGTGATACAACAATGTTATCTATCCTTTGAGCAAACTTTCTGCAAGGAAGCAAATATATATTTGCCAAACTCTGTCAAACACCTTTCATCAATACATTTGCAGAATTACCACGTGTTGTTATAATCCTTGAGTCCTTCAAGGTTACAACCAAGCACCAGACCTCGTCCAGGGCCTTCCGAGCTGCTTTCCATTACAATGGGAGTTGTGAATCTCCCCTCTGTTGTACTGTAGCCCAACAACCATACTGGAGTCCCTTTAATGCATAGACAGTGAGACATCTGATGTGTTTTGGTGGTTTCACTCTCACAGTTCTATGTTGGGCCCTGTGCTGTACATATTCTGTAGACTTCCTCCAGGGGTTTTCTCTACTTCTGTCTTTTGTGGCTTTGACAAAAAAAAGTACTTCAGCAAGGATTTGAGGTTAACTGTGAAGGCAATCTCAGGACAGCCTGTGTGTGGTTGACCAGCAAGTGTCATGAAAGAGAATCAGCTGAATCACACCTGTGGCTACCTTGTGTGTCCCCGTCCTGTGCTGGTATATTCTGACTATCCAGCCAGATTCCACCTCATGGTTGAGGGAAATATTAAAAGATGGTATCAGCTGTACAGTATCATTGTTTTGAGTCTCAACAGAAGTCTGCATGGCAGAGTAGAGTTGAAGCTCAAATATGAAAATCCTTTCATAGTAAACCAATTTCAAAATGGACACCAGATTGTTCATTATAGTTTTGGGAAGAAGATGAAAGCTATTTCCATGGTTTCCCAGGAAGTCCTTAACAAGACTCACTTCAAGCAAATGGCCCAAAATCTGATGAGCGGCATTTTGACAGATTCTTTTATGTGTGCTTCAGATGGTTTACTGATCAAAGTGCATTAATAATGATGGTGATGGTTCTGGAAAACCACTGTAAATGAAGGAAAAGGGTACGTATTTTTCTGCAGCTGTTTGCGCTACATGGGCCGATGTGGAATACAGAATCATGAGGGGTAAGAGCATTTGCATTTCCAGATTAGTCGAAGACTTAGTCTTAAAGCAGTGAGCAAAGGGTTGCACTCTGTCAGCATTAAGTTAACTGGAAAAGCAACATTTGATCACAGATCTCAGTCATTAAACAATAAGAAGCCAGCTTTACACACTTTGTTGCCTGGAGATTCACCTTAGGAACACATATCTGTGGTAAAAAGACTCAAGGTGTCTTCTATTTCTATTTTCTATTTCATGGCTTTCTTCAGTGAATTCAATTTGCTCAGATGACCTACATGCAGAACTTTGGTTATGTGATAACATATAGGACAACCAGTTATGGTCCATTTGCTAATAAAGGCAGTGGAATATGGCCAAAAGCACTGGGAAACAATAAGAAATTGAACTTTTGAGTTGTAGATTATTTTACCAACATTTATAATTTTTGGAAAAGGAATACATTTGAGCTTTATGAGGCTAGTTTGCCTTTAGTGGTGAAAGTAAATAAATCTGTCCACACACTACTGCATTTTTTGGGATTTAGAGTCCATAGCTAACCTAGGTAAGGAAACTAAACACTAGTAGTCCCCGCTATTGAGGTTTGGC